GTGCAAGTGATGGAGACTCGCAAGACGAAGCTGGGAGCAGACCATCCAGACACGCTGACCAGCATAGCCAATCTAGCGTCGACTTACAGGAATCAAGGTCGGTGGGATGCAGCGGAAGAGCTGGAGGTGCAAGTGATGGAGACTCGCAAAACGAAGCTGGGAGCGGACCATCCAGACACGCTGACCAGCATGAACAATCTTGCTTTCACGTGGAAAGCACAAGGTCGAGCTACAGAGGCGATACGTCTAATGACAGAATGTGTACAGCTTCGAGATCGAGTTCTAGGAACTAGACATCCCCATTTCATTTCCTCCTCGAAAATATTGGCAGACTGGGAGGCAGACCGAATAGAAGAAAGCAGTGAGCAAGATGATACTGGTGCTATCAGGTAGGATTGCGGCGGCTGAAATCTTAAATGTATACAGTGTTGAGATGATTGGCAGGTCTTCATAATGCTGCTGGAACTTCGCAAGACCTGCTCACTTGCTATGAGAAATTTACCTCGAGTAATTTACCTCACATGGGAAGAGGCTATGGTATTGCTGGGCGATGACACTCGTACATCCACACAGCGAACTCTGCCTCACCCAATGGCGCTAGCCTGCCCAGTCCCGATAGAGAATAGAGTCTCTGGAGGGACCGGGCTAGATTACGGCTGAAATACTTACGCGAAAGTCCCGTGGCTGTATGGGTCGCCGAAAGCGGAAGCTTGATCGGTCGCATGTACCAGCCTGCGTGGTGGAAATTTCTAAAATTGCTTTAAACACAGCGCATACCACGGATGAAGGCGTTCTAACATCATATCGGAGTTTTGTGTCTTAGATTAGTCCATTCATGACTTTTTCCAATGGAAAATTGGATGATGGTGGTGTAGCAGGGAAATACTGTCGCGCCGTCTAAGGTGCACTTCAAATACACCCCGGGAAAGCAGCTAACTTGCAGCCAAGCAATCGTAACTTTTGAGATGCACATAGTTTTTAAAGTCTAGAAACGATGAAAAAGCGAAGTTCACGTAAATTTATAAGAGCTGCAACTTTGACGATGCAGGTGTGTCTTGGCATAATTTATGTAGATTCCCTGAATCAAAGGATTTCGTAAACCAGAAGAACTTGACCTTTATTAGAACTGTAGAGCACGTGCATAAAGATAAGAGATAAGTAGACTACAGATAGATCCTCTAAAATAGAAGCGCAATGAAGAAGCAGTAATAGACGACTAGCTACGAAATCGCGAAGATACTTCGAATTAGAACTGATAGAGATAAAGAAATAACCATGTTCCTCGATCGTAACGCCTCCGCTTCAATCAGCGGGCCAAGCGTCGATAACTTAGTATTAAAGTTCACGATACTGTCCCATGGATCTTCATCGCGTGGTTTTGCAAGTGCATCTTACAGTTGAGCAATATATTGCAAACCCTGCAGTCGATCCTCTCGCCGTCCCTGATATTGGATAAGTGTTTTCGCCGAAAGTGCTTGCTAAGATCAGAGGGGATGCTGAAAGAATAAACCCGTGTAGTAAGCGGTAAAGCGACATTACCAAGACAAAGAAAACATATCGTCGGTCGCTTTTCCTTAAACACCGACAACATAGCGGCCTCTATTTCCTTCTCCATTGGCTCAGCGGAAGCTGCTGATCGGTAGTCATCCTCCTTTTTAATCAATAGGCGCTTCGTCTGGCCTCGAGAGCGCGTTCGGCTTTTGGGTGTATCGCCTTCTTCGATTTTGCAATACTCTGTGACGGCGATAATGGCCTCGCTCCGCCGCCGGAACTCCTCCTCGAGAGTGTTCCCTGGTGGGGCAAGTATAAGCGCCTCGATCAATCTCTTCTGTTCCGGCAGTGTCTCGCCCCTGAAGTAGGACGCAACCGTTGGCTTTTGAGTTTTGACTGATCTTCACGCCCGACAGCTGGCGTTCAATCGCTCGTACCGGGCCTTCCTTCTCATACTTCTCTTGAAGTTCTGCAAGGAGTGATGCCCGAAGGCGTTGCTTCTCACCTATGATCGTCTTGTTGTGTTCAATGTACTTAATATGCTTCGGCCCGTAGCGACGCTTTAGTCTGTCCCGATCCTGCAGCAGGGAACGAATAAGCGGGTTTTGGTTCACCGAGTCTGCCTGCTCTGCAGTCAGGCCCCAGGGCTGATTCGGGTCAATCCATCGGCTCATGTTACAAGCCGCTTGCATGACTGCATCTTGGGGCTGGAGTCGCCGCACAATTGCAGCAGCGTCCACGGTCACTCGTCGATGGAGGTAGTGTTTTAATGCAGCAGCGTCCACGGTCACTCGTCGATGGAGGTAGTGTTTTAAGAACGTCCGCGGATCACCGTGCTGCATCATCAGGTTCTGGAGCGCCTCGCTGACGTTGCCTACCAAAGAACACCACTCGCATCAGCCAAATAGAGCGTTAAGGGGAGGCCACATACCGTTTTCATTAAAAGCCTTTCCAGCACCATATCGGAGTGCGTATGGGCGCAGAAGCAGCTTGAACCCAGTAAGCTCGCCGACCTTCTTCATCGCATACCGGATCGTTGAGTACTCTAGTGGCTCGTCCTTCGATATCTCCCATCCCTCTGGCGTTTTAATAGCTTTGCGAAAGATCGGCACATCGTCTAGGTCAGATCGTAGCGGCAGTAGTAGTTGGTTATGACCTGGCTCGATATCCAGCCTGCTAAGCTGCTTCGGGGAGGTAAGGCTTGGTGCTGCGAAAGCTTGGTCATCGAAAATCAAACCCAGCAGGAGCACATGTGGGCTGTAGATTAAAGACGGATCATATATGATCTCTGGGATCGGAAATGTATTCCTACGCACCAGTAAGTAGGTTGCATAAAAAGAAGAGCAGCTGTAAGGGAGGAAATATAAGGAAATTCAACGCACATATCCTTAATACCAAGGAAGCTCTTTGTAAACTCGAATGCAAATCCAAGGAGAATCCGATTCGGCCCGCCTTCAGGGTCTCGCAGTAATGTAACTCTAATGTGTCGGTAGCAGAGGTTTAGTAATGCCCCAGGACGATTAGCCGTAAAACCCCCAATTTGCATGAAAAGCTGCATCTCGACCCGGATTCTCCCATGTGAGTATCGTTTTTTGACTGCGCACAAATTTGTCCGCAGCGCTTCTTTCAGATCCTCGACATACATGCGCGGCTTTTCCCTGGCTCCCTTTTTCAATCCCGTGTCTCTTCGCCAGCTTTCGCAGCACCTGAAAGACAGCGTTAAAATGGACCGATGATACTACGGCACGAGCTGTCATACCGTATGCATCCCACGCGTCGTCGGTCGAACCGTTAATCTTGTCGCCAGTGGCTCGCTCGTACGTAAGCCAATAGATTTTCCAGTATGTCCCTAAAGAACTAGCTAGTTTAGTCCCTCGAAGTCGCCGTCCCTCCTTCCCGCGGCGTTGGCTGAGCAGCCAGTGGAAAAAGTTGTGCAATACGTTGATTGATATGGTCTGGTACATCTTCTTGGGGTCTTTTCCGATATACGCACAGTATCTATCCAGCGTCAGAGAAATATAGCAATATAGCATAGAAGGCCATGCTGCTTACTGGTACCATTGCGCTTCGCTCCGGTCGAGGAGGAGGGTAGTACCATCGCTATAATCCTCCTTGGTATACTCGGAGTCGTCAAAGTCATCCAGCAGCTGATTGTAGTACTCTGGTGGATGCTCATTGCCTTCGAGTAGCCATGCTGACCCTTTGTTAAGGCCTTCGTCCGAGTCATAACCTGAGGTATCCGGCGTATCGTTCAGATTCGTTCGGTGTGCCGACGAGTCGTCGTCAGATTGCGAGCTGGTACTGTCCCCGTCAGACCAGGAATCGTCCACGGTCGGGCGACGCATTGAGTCCGGTTCGCCGACTCCAACGCCGGTGAAAGTGCCGGAGAGGCGAAGGCGTATGTGAGAGTAGAAGGAAAGGGAAGAGACACAAGATCTTTGGAGCAAATAACAGTCTTCGGTTGTATAGGAAGGACAGTGGGGAGAAGAGATAACGATTCGAAGAACGTGAAGAGAAGGAGGGCGACGCCATTTTAAGAAAATGTCGCGGAATCTGTTGGAGAGCCATTTCGGGCCCTTCTTCTGGCCCTTTAGACGCCAGAGGATGAGCGAGTGAGAGTAGAGTTGGAAAGCAGAGTTAGAAAACGAAATACTGAAAACTAGACGTCGCATGCTCTAAGTCAGAGCGGAGCTAAAATGGGACATAGACCAAAGTTGGTAGGGCATGACTCAGATCCATGTCAGTGAGATCCATGTCAGCGAGTAAGGGGAGTTCTCATTGGCGCTGGAGCATGGCAGATTTACCTCCAAAAACGGCGTCACAAACCTCCAAAAACGGACGTCAATCTGCCGTCTTTTTGTTTAAATAGGATTTACCAACAAATTCGCAATATCAGGAACTGTAAGAAACTAGACCGTTTCCAGCGGGTATCCACAGTTGTAAAACTGGGTTGTCAACGAGCTAACGTACTGTGGATCGGAGGTTGCAAAACCTCTCCAATGTCACAGATGCCTAGCTGCGGACCAATAGACAAGAACTTTGACTCGGAGTGTGTAGAATCTTGAACTTTTGCTGTAGACGAGGGGAGTGGCCACCAGCCCGTGGTTCATGGAAAGTGTCCATTGTTATAGACTCATACAGAAAGATTGCATATGAGATTGGTTCTACACGGGGAAAGCGAGAAATATGTAGCAAGGAATGAATCGAAGGCGGGAAGATGGCGACGAGAGGAACTGCAGGCATCACCGTCGACTGAAATCCAGATGCGAGAGGTCAAGAGAAACGGGAAGCGCAAGTTCCTGTTCGTACCTGACATGTACCGCTGTTCTCTCCGAAGTATATCCGGAGCGGACGGGACCACATCAACTTGAATATAGGGCATCCCGTCTGCTCTGCCGTACTCAAGCAGGTTAGAGACAGAATAGTACTACGGTGGGTGACCACGTGGGAAGTCTTCACAATAGTACCATCCGGTTCGCCTGCCATTGGCCGGGCGAGTTACCATACATACTTAGTCAACGCGTCGTTAGGAGATACTGTAATCAAAAAATTAGGGCTGCGTAGAGTACTGTGTCACAGAATATCTGTGTTTCTTGGCGTTTCCTCACGGCTTCATTCCGCATTCGATTCTATACACCTATTCTTTCCCTTTTTAGGGAAAAGATCACCATTGTAAACCATATAAAATAGCTGCAGGAACAGCCTGTTTTCGTAGGATCCGGCTCTTCAGGATCAAGGCCAATCTATCTACGCTCTTTTGGAATCTAACGGTGTTTTCCCACTGTGCCGCTGCATTAATCACCTGATTGAGCGAAACCGCTATTTATCTCACATACTGCATGTAGTACTAATAGGAACAGGGCCTAAATCTAATGTTGCGAATTAGGATCATTTGCTTATTGATCATAGCTATCTGGCACCATTGTTCCAATCATCCACTTCCCATACACACTCTCTGTCGCGAGCTCTTTGATCTTCCCATCGATTAGATAATACATCCGCACTGCTGTATTGCTCCATCCTGCCACACCTATCGGCCCATTCGGTGTGCTCGAGCCCGGAACCGATGACCCAAGATCTCCAACTGACCATTTGCTGTTCGAATACTGCACCTGCTGCATCTTAGTGCCGTCGAGGTAGAAGACTTGGACTGCATCGGGGGTATCAGACACCGCGACGCCAAGCGAGCGGGGGATTTCTCTGGGGATGTTCGCGGGGATTGTCTGGACTGTTTTAGGTTAGTTTCTTAAACCTTAACATCACGCCGACACGCAAAACTACAGAGTAGGGGTGGAAAAAGCACGATAGACCTTTTGTCCACGTTGAACTCGTCCAAACTGACGATGCCATCTGCAACCTTGTCTCCTCATTGAACCAAAACAGCCAAATCTCCCCCTTCACCATCTTCACTGCGACTGGCGACGCCAGATGTGCCTTTGCACCATTACTGATTTCCCGCGGCGCGCGCCATCCGCTCGTAGGGTCGTATGCGGCTTCTAGGACAGAGCCGTCGCTACCGACCATGTATTCGCGTAGGATGTTTAATGAGGGGGAAATGAGAGAGAGTCCGGCGCCCGCGATGAGGGCGGAGGAGGACGGGATGGTGTTGCTCTCTGGGTTTGTGCAGAGCGTGCCGTTCCCGTGGCAGCGGAAGACGAGACTGGCGAGGGTGCTTTGCGAACGTGCCGTATAGTGCATGCGGATTTCCTGTAACTCGAATGTTAATGTCCGTATACGCTAGAACCACGTAGGTCAAGTCTCACAAAGTAGTCGTTGGACTGCCATGTCGCAGCAGCAATCGGAGTATTGTCAATAGCAGGCAACGACATGTTTAGTTTCATGGGATTCGCCCAGATGCTGGGCTTGTTGAAGTAGCCATGCATATACAGGTCCCCATTGGATACCTGCCAGAAGATGAAGATTGTCGCATCAGATTGGGCGGCTACGATTGCGCGCATTGGCTTCGGTGCTGGGACACTGGTGTTTGTGTCGGGCGGGGAGTTAAGGTTATTGGTGGTTAATGGAGCTTGCCCATCTTGGCGATTCTGGTTATTGACAGCGTTAGTCGGGCTGTTTCATATCATACTGAAATCATATCCTATGCTATGTTAGACTTACAGACTTGTGCCTGCTCCCAAGAATACCTCCCGCTACGCCTCCCACTATGGCCGCAACGAGCACGAAGAAAACCAGGCCAAAATATAATATCCTCCGGCGAATACCGCATACTCTCTTCTTATTCTCAGCCGGTATGACACTGGCGGCGTTGCTCTTAAGTGCATTAGCATCTACTTCATGAACCGCTACCGGATACAAGCCATGCGACTCATGTTGATTGTTCGGGTCGGCGTGAGCATATTGACTTCGGTATTGGTCTTGAGACTCCGAATAATGTACCTCGGGGTAGGAGTGGTCAAGATGATGCGAGTTCTGGAACGATTCCGGAAGCGGGTCAAGATCGTGCTCTACGGGCTGTGAATTTCCAATTATTTTTAATTCCTGGATGTGTTAGCCACGAGCATAAAGTCAGACTCACAGTGCTTTGCAAGCCCGTCATGATTATATATGCGAGCACCGATCTTTCTACCCTTAGGTTACCTCGCCATTTCTCAAGCCAGGTTGGGTTTCCATTCGATTGAAAACCAGAAATGGGCGGACAGATCAGGGTCTTATTAACGCAAAATCATATGCATTCTGATCTGCAAGCCTCGTTCATCTGAGGATGCAGCCTATCGCGGATGGCTAGCGCATGTAAGAGCAACAATCGGTCACGGGGCTTTTGAGCGTGAAAACCACACGCTAGGACGGGACTCGTCGCTAAATCGGGCCTTCCTCTAACTAATTCTAGTTGGTAAGACAAGGGTTATCATTAAGGTGGCCCCCCGATGCATACTATTTTTTCGCATAGGTTGTCACAGTAATGACTTGTCGCTACGACTTTGGCTGTTTTAGCCCTACGGCCTGAGGGTGATGGAGGCCTAAGCATACCTGCCGGACCGGCCCGATATGAGACTCTATTCAGGCGAAAGACCTCGCTCGTACTGCTGGAGGGATCATATCCATACCGCATACTCTGGAACTAATTGAACTCCACAGCACCGCGTATACGAACTTTCCTGGGGTGATTATAGTTTTTTTTTAGCATTATATCTATTCGCAGAGAACTTTTTAGCATGTTTACGTATGGAAACCATGGTATTCTGTCACGGTTGTACTTTTCGTTGCTTCAAGGCGTTGATGGATTGATGCCTTATGGCTTGACCACCAGGGGGACGAAATTCGTGGCGCGGAGGCCAAACCCCAAATCCTCACCAAAATCGCTAACTTTGACCCCGAATATCTCCGCCAAACGAGGCTTATTTTCAATTCTGATCAATAGAATCAATTTGTACTTAAAGATATCCTTATAATAAAAGATGCAGAAAGTTACAGTTTAATTTGGCGGACTCAGCAAATTTTGGTAAGGTTTTATGGATACAAGTGTGCAATCCTCACCAAAATCTTGCCCGCCTCCTCCGCCAAAATTTGCTGAGTCCGCCAAATTAAACTGTAACTTTCTGCATCTTTTATTATAAGGATATCTTTTAAGTACAAATTGATTCTATTGATCAGAATTGAAAATAAGCCTCGTTTGGCGGAGATATTCGGGATCAAAGTTAGCGATTTTGGTGAGGATTTGGGGTTTGGCCTCCGCGCCACGAATTTCGTCCCCCCGGTGGACGATCATAGCTCTAGTAGGATATAGTCGCATGTGTTGAGGCTGGGCGCTCCCTATGGGAGCGTCCTCAAACTGAGGATGAGTAAGCTTCAGATGACGAACGGGGGGCCACATGGGCGACCTATTGGCCCGAACAGATGCATGAAGCAATCAATCAATCAACTAATTAGTGATGAGCCCCAATCACTCCTTCGGAGTTTTGGCGCGACCGTCCAATACAGGCGTGGCTAAACTATAAGTTTGCTTACCATCTCTTGGCATGGCTTCTCACGCCAAGACATACTGAGTGAGGCTTGGCCCATCATCCTTGTAGAGATGAGAATCAACGGATCCTATGTCTTGCATTTTGTGAGATAAATAGCGGTTTCGCTCAATCTGTTGGTTGGTGCAGCGATACAGTGGGAAAACACCATTAGATTCCAAAAGAGCGTAGAAAGATTGGCCTTGATCCTGAAGAGCAGGAATCCTACGAAAACAGGCCGTTCCTGCAGCTATTTTATATGGTTTATAATGGTGATCTATTCCCTAAAAAGGGAAAGAATAATTAGGGATAGAATCGAATACGGAACGAAGCCGCGGGGAAACGCCAAGAAACACAGATATTCTGTGACACCTGCCACCTTTGTCAACCGGACTCAGCCTTGCTGCAGTTTACACCCAAGCGGATGCCTGGGCAAAGTGGGCATGGCACTGATTTATGGACTAGCCTTCGGCCGGCATCAGGTCGATTCAACGTCCTTCGAGGATACCACACAATATCCCAATGACTCGACCGGGAATATGTTAAGGACGACGCATATTTGGAGATTAGATTAACTATCGTCTTTGACTTTTTGCACTTCAGGATACTTCGTTAACTCGTATAAAAAAGCTACAATATGTAGCCTTGGGTAGTGAGGCTGGTGGCGCATTGCCAGCTAGACATCTTGATACTTTAAAGTTTAAACCGAACAGCCTTTGCTGCGCTTTACACCGCGCTGAAAGCCTTGTCCAGCGGCCGAAGGCAAACCATATTGATTCTGCCGCGTCGTGGCAGAGCCTCACTTTTCCACCTCCCATAATTATGGCTTCACCGTATTTTCTCCTTCTCTTCTGTAAGCCTCCTTCGGTCAACTGTGAGCTCCATCTCAACAGATTCTGGTTGCTTGATAACGTCTTATATAGTCTGATACGATCAGGCCTCACTAATAACTACCTCGGATTAAAAAGAGCTACCTATATCTATCTCCGCACCTGCGAATTCAGGACCTTTCCTATCGACCTTACATTCTACCGTTTTTCGATATAACTTACCAAATTCTGAAACGATTCCGAAGAGAGACCTCGAGCCTAATAGTGGTCAAGGGCAAGAAAAGAAGAGGAAAATAGACTACGAGGATCATCAACTACCACCGTCTAATGCTTCTACACGAACGTTTGCCAACGAATGCTATACGATCGGTTGGATTTGCGCCCTCGTTACAAAGTATGTTGCCGCGCAGGCTTTCCTCGACGAAGAACACGACCGGGCAGAATTCGTCGATACTAACGATAACAATGACTACATATTGGGCAGAATGGGAGAACACAATGTTGTTATTGCTGTTCTACCCGAGGGCGAGTACGGGCTGGCCTCCGCAGCAACCGTAGCGAGAGATATGCTGCATAGCTTTCCTAATGTCAGAATTGGCCTGATGGTCGGCATCGGTGGCGGCGCACCGAGTCGAAAGCATGATATCCGTCTAGGTGACGTAATCGTCAGTGTTTCCCGCGATGGGAACGGCGGTGTATTCCAGTACGACTTCGGCAATACGATACAAGACCAAAGCTTTCGAACGACTGGTTACTTGAACCAGCCGCCCACAGTCCTCCGCACGGCGGTAAATGGGGTCAAGGCACAGCATGAGAAGAACGGGCACCAGTTTGAAGAAACAATCAACACTATTCTGGAGAAGAATCGGAGAATGAGGAAGAAGTATAGGCGTTCTGACCCAAGCAGTGACAGGCTGTACCTAAGCCATATCACCCATCCTGGCATCTACTCGTGGACCCGAAGCAGAGTTTGACGACCCACGCCGCAAAGGGCTACTCCAAGCTTTTAAGGATGCTCTAGCTGTCGATACAATACAACCGACAGCTTGGGCGTGCCTCTGGCTTAGCGATATTGATGCCCTAACGGACCTTGTCTCCGATGCTAAAATAAAGCCAGCCTATATCAAGGGTATTATTGGAGGCATAGAATCACAAGCAAGATTAGTTCCAACATGTATGTTGCTAGCCCTTATTCTGTTCGATTACTAATATTATATATAGGGACCCAACGAAAGCGACCGGCCTCTGCTGCTTCTACTTTACAGCATCCGTCTACTCCACAGCAACCTTCTACTCCTCTTCAGCCGTCTCCGTTACAGCAGCCCCCTTCGGCACAGGGTAGTCGAGGACAAAAGCGAAATAGCAGTGGTAGGTCGTTGACTTCTCGCTCTAGACAAGAGCGAGATCTGGTTAGTCCATATTAAGAATATTTCTATTAGGGTTTTTACTAATATTCTATAGTGTCAAGAGAGAGATCAAAAAAGATGCATACTTACAAAATCCGGCGAGCCAAATGAAGTTGCGCATATCTACCCATACTCCATGCGATACGAGGACGGAACTACTAAACCGCTAGCGCTCTCTTTTTGGGATATTCTACGGGCATTCTGGTCCAAGGAGCGTATAGATGCTTGGTACAATACAATATTCCCAACCGGCACTGAGGTCTGTCAAAACCTCATATGCCTTGCTCCGAACGCACACGCATACTGGGGAGGAGCATATTTTGCACTCAAACCAATTAGGATTTCGGACGACAAGAAGCGTCTGGATATACAGTTTTTCTGGTTATCGTCAAGCGCACGCGTTCCCGAGATTAATATCCTTCAAGCTCCTTCGTTATGGGCCTTAGATCAAGGACCAAATCTAACAATGCTCTTCAATAATGAAACTCGAAAAGAAATTCGCTCTGGAGACGAAATCGCTCTTGAAACTGACGACCCGGTATTACGACCTCTGCCCGACTTTAGGTTATTGGAGATGCAATGGTTTTTGCACCGCGTTACAGCAATGAGCGGAGCCGCTGAACCCCAGAACGACTTCCACGATAATAGCGACGACGACATTACAATGACCTTGCAAGATCGATGGAACATGTATACGCAGGATGATTGGGACATGGAGACAGAGGAAGGGCCTGATACATACGTAGAAACTCCGAGGGAGTGTTTCTCGGAAGAACGCAGCTTTGTGCAACTCAATGCTTATTAAAGATCCGACCGTATAGTCACACTTCGTGGTGGAGAACATCGTGAGCAGGAGAACCACGAAAGGAAAGATTATGATGAGGAGTATTATGACGGGGAGGAGTGCCAAGGGGAGTTAACAAAGCTGGATAGCATTAACATGGCAACGAATTGTGAGGAAGAACCTTGTATGACTTTATTCAACGATCACGTTACGGCATTTCTTTCAAGAAAGATGACTCCTGCAGAGACCAATTACGACATTTACGACAAGGAACTTTTGGCCATCATCAAGGCCTTTGAAGAATGGTACGTCGAACTGTCAGGCAATAAGGTTGAACACCCGATCCAAGTGATTTCAGATCACAAGAACCTCGAGTACTTCATGACGACGAAGAAACTTAACAGGCGTCAAGCTCGCTGGGCAGAGTTTCTATCACAGTTCAAATTCGTCATCAATTATCGACCAGGAAAGCAAAGCACTAAACCTGACGCGCTTACGAGGCGCCCTGGAGATCTCCCAGAGAGTTTCGACGACCCTAGAATTAAACAGCAAGAACAATGCATTCTCGAACCTCACCGTCTTGATCCGCGGATACGCCAAGACTCGAAAACCTTGATCCGACTGGCTTGCATAGTCACTGACACGTTGACATACTCTATGAAGGAGATCATAGGAGCACTAACCGACGTGCTCGAAACGGAAGTCCCGGAAGCAGACACCCCAAAACCATCCGCCGAACTAGCACCTGAACCGGAGCCGTTAGGACCAAGACTGACCGCCGACGACCCAACAGTGGACACTCGAGAGTTCCTTTCAAGAGATACTAAGCTCCCAGATACGCAGGAAGTATGAGAACGTATCATAACTCTTTCGAAGGAAGATCAAATCATCCAAGACATTATTGCTGCAGTGGAACGAAAGGACCGAATCATCCCTTACCGCTTGATACATCGACACCATATTCGCCTTGACATTGCCAAATGTACCGTCTCTCCCGAGGGAGTTCTGAAGAGGCCGCCATAGTTGGGAGAAAAGGTCAGTGATGACAAGGTAAGAATGGGCAGAGATGACTGATAGGACTGACTGGGTCCTTGATGGTTAGGGGTTTGGGAGATGGAAGTTGGATTCATATGTGTGCAGCGTTTTCAGATATAGATTTAAAACTTTAGAACCAGCTCGAGATCTAAAATTGAGTTTAATAATGGAGAGTTTGATTGACGCTGTGGATGGTCGCAAGACCTGACTGGATAGTGGCTCCCGCGATAACCTGAAGTGTTTAGGTCGATTCCCCTCAAAGATGCCGGGTTGAACCTTTTACAACTGTAGACGCTTGTCAGAAATTCTTAAATGGACTGATGTCTCAGCTGCCATGATGATGATGGTTTCTCAGTGATGAACGATCGACCCACATTCGGCATCATACAAATGAACGAAGGATTTAACACCACCAAGGATCGGAACTCAACTACGGAATTCATGCCGGGCACTATAGAGAGGCAGCTTGATCTGGTAGGGCTATAACCACTGATTTGATTGGAAGTATTATCAAATATTCCGCTCTGGTTGTTCGGTTTATCCACGCATTAGCTGTGATGGCATGTATGACCACATTTATTACATGATTGAACCGGTTTTCGCACTGTCTTGCCACATGTCAAACGCTTCATGAACATCGCTATGGGAGTCTTCAGAGGAGAAGCAGCCCAATGTAAGGTATACTCCAGACCCTTAAACGCATAAGGTAATACTGTGAAGCTACTGATATAATCATGGACATTGGTACAGCTGGAGTTGAAGTGCTTGGTAGCATTTCACCCTTTCCGGCCTCTTTTCACTTGCCATATATAAACCGCCTAAGAGCATTTCCTATTAATGGTAATAAAACTAAACCAATGGTGCAACGTTGGGGACTTGTGAAGCTTGTGAGGCGCCCGTATTGGTCCCTGAACTTTTGCTGATTCACGGCTCGATTCCTACTGGGTTCCTTTTCTACCAAGTGGTTTTTTTGACTATGGTTAGATTGATATATTCTTCTTGGCATCCTGAGCATTATTCTTTAAGAAATGTTGACACCCTAAGGGTAGACGTCAGGGCCATCGGTTTCGACCGCACCGTTGGGCTATCATTCAGCTCAGGTGGTATCTTCAGATCACCGTGGGAATATATGTCGGGGATTCTCTGGCTACAGCATGTCCCCTTCATTCAACTTCTCGCCCCGTCTCCTGGCTAAGTAGACCCTCCCAGTTTCATACACGCCCAAATACAGACCACTCCCAGCCAACGTCCACACAAACCGCAACGCCCCCCCTCGAAACAAACCTCTCGCTCCCTCCTCCGCCAATATTCTCTTCCCAACCGCCCACGAACTCTCCGACTTCGCGAACACACGCACATGCCTATGGCCCGTTGCATCCAATATCGGCTTTCCATCCCTATTCCCATTTCCGTTCCCCGTCGCCTTCCCCCCAGACTTTCTCCTTCCCCCTTCCCCATCCATTACCTCCGCCGCCCTCAACATCACCCTCGTCTTCACCACATCCACCGGCGTCGTCACCCATGCCGCCACACTCCCCGCCATCCCCGCCGCCCCGGCCGTCACCGCGGTCGTCTCCCACAAGCTCCCCGTCGCCCTCCCCGACCTTTCCAACCTCCCCCGCAGAAACAACTTTAGCTGCTCGAACAGCGGGAACTGCAGCGCGGTGAAAGGGAGGTTGCGCGAGGCGAGGGCAGAATAGCCATGCCAGAGGTGGAGGGGGTGCGAGCGGAATTTGCGGAGAGTGAGGAGGGAGGGGGAGGAGTGGAGGAGGGAGGAGGGGGTGGATGGACAGGAGGTGGAGGAGAGCATTTGGGCGTTTTGTTTGATGACTTCGGCGGGGGTGAGGATGGCGCAGGAGACGAGCTCGGCGATGGAGGAGGCGGTGGCGTGGATGATGGGGGTAGGGAGGAATGGGATGGAGGCGGAGGGGAGGGTAGGGTTGATACGGGTTAGAGTCGCTTTGATAGCTTCGTAGGTGGTGAAGAACGCTCCTGCTGCGATAGCGTTACTCTTTGGTCCCGATCGTCTCACATAACTAGAATTTAGGGCGTACAAGATGGCAATGTTGCGATGACCACCATGCCCACGCCTTGGTATAGTCCGCGGAACAGGGCATGCCGATTGACGGCCTGCGTCTTCGCGTCGAGGTAGCGCGTCCGGTATGAGGGCGACTGAATCCGAGTTTTGAGCGTATCAAGCGGGTAGACGATCAGGTCCACGCTGAATGCGGCGACGGCACCGGCCTAGGGCTACTTAGTTGTGTTCCATGCTCTTGGGGGGTTTCTTTGGTGCCCTACCAGTAATATGTCCGCAGTGGTGTTCTTTTGGTTTGGCATTTAGGCGACATGAGGGAATATGGCTACTGAATCAAAGAAATATCCAATAACTGGAGTTTGTGTCCTGTGAGATGAGTGAGAGTAGATTCATTTGGCCGTGGACAGTTGGCGATGTATGACGTCAGGGATTGATGCCACCAGCCCCTCTAAGGACTTGACTTCCGCTTCGAACGTCTCCGTCAAACCTGTGGTATGCCATAATTTGATTGCAAATCCTTTATTGCATCTTCGGTAGTGGTTTGCTATACAATAATGTTACGGAATATCTCCTGTCGTCAGTGAAATCAAATGGTCTCTCGAATCGACATGCGATCCTCTTGAGATGTGAGTCGTGATATGAGGATGTGATGGCCGCGAGGGGCGAAAAACCGGTCGACCAGCGGGCTGGACCCGTGGGTCAATCAAGCCGGTCAGTACGGTGGTGTACCAGTGATTATGATCGAGCATCGACAAATATTCACCGACTGGTGGGCAGTGCCGGATGAATTGGGTTGGGCTGGTTCATAAGGCTGGAGTGCACCGCCCATTACCAGCCATCTTGATACATGCTGATATCCACCCTGATACTAGTATCGCAACGACAATCGTTCACTATTATGTACAGCAACCCGGGACGCCACATCCGGTGATGATCTTTGGGCTGTCGTCATGTCGCACGGAATAGTTCGGTCAGAGAGCCCCGGGCAGCACTGGGGGATTTCCGGACATCATCGTCGCCTCGTCGTTGCCTACTCGTTGACTGCAATTGAGCGCGACATATTCTTCCTTGCAGCCGAAACTTGAACAATAATACCTTAAATCAACATTTCCTGACCTTGTGGTGATTGGCCTGACGCCTCTTTTGACCGCATTTTTCCTGTCGCATCTCTAAGTCAACTACCCTTCAAGTGTAAATTGCTATTGAAGCGCCCCGCTGCTGTGCGCTACTCGAAACGACACCACCTGCAACACTCCCCTTCTACGACACACGCATATTGCTGTCATGCGGGCACCTGATTGAATGATAGCGTATCAATCCCTTGACATCGCTGGCTTTTGCCTCTCTCCGCTTCAGGAACCGTAGCGTGACGTGCTGCCCAGCATTTTCGAAGCTTTCTCGGTCTGCGTCTGGCGCGGACTCATCATCATCTCACCGGCCCTATTCACCGCAGACACTACTATTGCGCCTCCAGCCTCCTCTAGCATCCGCCCCCACAGTGGCCAAGCCCCGAGCGTTCTATTCGAGAACGACGCACCTATATCTCACCCCATTCCAACCTTGTCGTCCCATCTCTCTTCTTTCTTGTTTCTTTTTCAAGAAAGCTCAAATTCATTTGAAGAGCGTCGGCTTTTCTTTTTGTGCAATCCGCCACCTTTCACCCCCGCCTGACGTCACATCCGTCAGCAAACATTCCCACTGCAATCGCAGATCAAGGTTCGTGCTCAAATTCTTTTTATCATGGCGTCTCTATCAAAATCGCATCGATCAGGAATTAACATTCTGAAAGAGAGGTCGTCGCCACCTTCCGAACAGCCCTTGGATCGATTGGATAGTGTTTCGCGCTCCAGCAACTACCCCGCCTCACCTAGCCTGCCACATCGAGCCTCGTCGACGTCGCAGAAATGTCCGACTACTACGACGATGATCGGTATCGGCGCCGAGCTCGCCCGACTCGTGATTACTCGCCCGAGTATGTGAGAGAAGAAACATACATCTCACGCGGTTCTCGCGACGCGCCCTCACGAGATCTCGTCTATCGCGGGCGTCCAGAAGAGGAATCTGTTGAGGACATCCGTCGAGAATTCCCTCCTCCTCGTGGAAACGACTATCTACCGCGACGAGCCAGATCGGCGCGCAATCGACGGGAGAGCTACTACGACGATGATGACTACAGCGAGTACAGTCGTGGAGCCGGCGGCTATGCGCGTGGAGCACGACGAGATCGCTATGACGATGGCTACGGCAGCGACGAATACGACCGGCCCGAGCGGCCACGTATGGAGCGGCGGAAGAGCAGAGTCGAGAAATTCGCCGACGAGCTCGGTCTCGGTGGCATCGTTGGGGCCGTGACTGGTGCAGCGCGCTCCAGGTCAGGAGGCCGCCACGACCGACACCGAGACCGTGGCTACGACAGCGATGGCGACCTCCACTACGACCGCCGGGGACGCGCTCGCAGCAAGTCTCGCGATACCGGGAAGAAATGGCAACAAGCCGCCACCGCGGCCGTCCTTGCAGGTGCCGTCGAAGCATATCGGACGCGCAAGGTCGACGGGCCATGGAAGGGAGAGAAGGGCAAGCGCATCGCAACCACTGCGCTGTCCGCCGCCGGTATCGACGGTTTGATCGACAAGGACCCAAGCGACCACTCCAAACGCCATGTGGTCGAATCCGTCATCGGCGGTCTCGTCACCAACCGCATCGCCAACGGACCGCGTTCCCGCTCTCAATCCCGCGGCCGCGGTCTCGATCACCCCCGCTCCCGCTCTCGCGGCCGCTCTCTCAGTCGCGTCAGCTCCATCTTCTCCCGTAGCAAGTCCCGAGGCGACTCCCAAAGCGGCTCGCGTAGCCCCAAACGAGCTCGCTCCCGCTCCCGCATCGCCGCACTCGCTACCGCCGGAGGCGTCGCTGCTGCCGGCAAAGCCATCTACGACCGCGTCCGCTCCAAGTCGCGACGTCGGGACCGCTCCCGGAGCCGCAGCTCCAGCGAGGATTCATATGTGCCGTCACGGCGACAACGCTACCAAGGTGGGCGCGACCGAGGCCGGGACCTCTCCCTCAGCGAAAACTCATATATTGACGACGACAAGGTCGCGCGACCTAGAGGGCGCGGCGCGGCCGGGGCCGCGGGCATGGGTGGGCCCGGGGCCGACAGGAACCTACGAGATCAAAGTACGTCCAGTATTTCTACTACCGATTTGGAGAACCAGCGGCGGAAGCGGCGCGGCAAGGAGCTTATCACGGCGGGGCTGGCGACCGTCGCGACAATCCACGCGGCGCACGGCGTCTACTCGTCCATGGCGGCGTCCGACAAGCGCCACAAGGCCGTCATGGAGGGCGAGATGTCCCCTGAGGAGGCGCGCAAGAACAAGTCCAAGAACATGCTCCAGGACGCTGCGTCCATCGGCATCGCCGCCCTCGGAATCAAGTCCGCCTTCACCGAGTGGAAGGGAATGAACGAGCAGCGCCAGGGCATCAAGGAGCTTGAGGAGAAGCATCGCAAGCGTCGCAAGCTGAAAGAACGCCGTGCCCGCGAGATGTCGCTCGTCGGCTCCACTGGAGCTTCGCAGTATGGTGGTGGTGGTGGTGGTGGTTATTATCCGCAAGCTAACCCTTACGGCTACACAGCACCTCCGACTTCATACCAGGACGGTAATCCGTACGGCAGCGCCCTGCCGCCGCCACCCATGGGTGCTCCACCCAATAGGTATTAGGGAGTGGTCACGATAGGATGGAGGGCCGGATGGGTATCCGTTCGTCGACCCCTACTCATGCCTTCCCTGTGCAACCCATGAGTTTGTCGACAGTGTTTTTCTGGTTTCCGATGAGTATTATTATTTCGGAAAATACGTATGGTCGAATGGGCAGAATTCAAGAATAATGGAGGATTCCTCCGCGATGGACGGGTGGGCTTCATGATGCGATGACATTTTTCACGGATGAAACGGTTCTAGATCGGAGACCGGGCTTTTCTTTGACTGAGACTGGCTTTGAGGTCGGAATTTACTCCTAGCTCTCTACCTATGATTCTCTAAATCTTCAAACCATGCGGTGGTGCTTGGAATGTGCGTGTTCAATGTCGTGTACTCGTTCGGTCAATGGTCTACAAATCAAGGACTGGGCTGGGGTATAACTCCAGTAACTCCGTACCGTAAGACGGTAGTTCGTCAAAAATGACCATAAAATGATATTCTCATATTCAGGTTAAGGTAGGATCCTTGGCGGCTTGGCAATTTTTACTCCACCAACACGCGTCAGAACGCGCATTTCATCAATTATATCAACGCAGCAACCACCACGTTCATTACTTTATCAATTTAGGTATTTTTGAGGAGCTATTGACAGAAAACACCTACTTATCTATTTAGATGGTAGCCATGCCTCCTTTCCAGCTACCAGCTACCAGGTCTCAGATCTCAGATGCGACTTTACGCGACATAGAGTACCGTCTCAACGCTGGACAAGTCAATATGCACATAATCGCCGCAACGAGTATAAACAAGAATACAATGACGAGATTAAGGAAGCGATGGAGCGAGACTGGGACCATTTACGCCATAAGGACGCGTCGCCCTGGTCCTAGACCTAT